CAGGAGAGGAAGACCCTCAATGAGGTAGATTGATTCAGTGACTGGGTTAAGAGGGGTAGGTGTGTAGGAGACAGTGATATTGGCACAGAACAGAGCAGAGTTTAGGGCTGTTTTGCATAGGGTCACTACGAGTCACAGGCAACTCGACAGCACATAACAACAACAACAACGTATAGACTGAATAGATGTGGAGAAAAGATACAACCCTGACACACACTTTGCCTGATTTTAAACTAGTCAGTGCTCCTTTGTTCTGTTTAGACAAATGGTTCTTAGTCTACATATAGCTTTTGCATGAGTACATTAGCTATTCTGAGATTCCTATTCTTCCAAATATTAGCCATAACTTATTATGATCCACACAGAACAGTCAAGAGTGAAGTGTGGTCATCCTAAACAGCTTTCGAAATGGTGTGGCCTAGGCCATTGTCACAGTGTTAACAGTATCCACAATCCTAAAAAAGGTTCAGTCTTTCTCCTTGTACTCTGTGTCCACCTACCTCACCATCACAACTCATTAGCTAGCTGGCAATGCTCCTCTCTCCCCCTGACCCCAATAGGTCCAGCTCTGCCTCAGGCCATGACCACAACCACTTGTATTTGAATATTTAAACTTTCAGAGTATTCTTTCAAGAGCCTGAAGACTGTACCACACCCAGCCTCCAATCAGCCCCCAGATTAGGGGGGACACGTCCTCTGATTGGGTTCCTTTCTGTTCCTCTGGCTAGAACCCTTTCCTCTTTCTCTGCATCCTTACCCAACACACTCCACTCTCAAGTTTGTCTACACACAGTATAATACTATGTTGCATTGAAAAGCAAGGAACTCATGCAATATTATTCAAAATGGGTGACCCTGGGTGACATTATGCTGAGTGAAGTATCTCAGTCACAAAAGGACAAATACTGCATGGTGCCACTGTTGTAAAATAGGGCTGAAAGATAGGTTCAGTAATGTATTCTGCACTGAAGCAGATGAGGAAGAAACTGTTTAAAAGGAATATGTGATTAGATATTATTGTCATGACAGGAGTGTAGAGCGAAGGCTTACATGGTGGAGTGGACCTGGGGGAGGGTTTATAAAACAATGAAAGAATTTTTCTTTTACTTTTCCAAGAGGGTAGTTGGGAGGGGAGAAAAGTACAACAATGAATGAATGGAAATCCAAAGTCTATGTAAATTTTTACTGAAATTAATAATAAATTTAAATTAAATAAAAAGAAAAAATTAAGATGGATGGATCAAAAAAATAAGGTGGATGGATTTAGGGATAGGCCTATCTATGATAAAACAAGTAGCCAACCATTTGCCATCAATTCCAACTCCTGGAGATCCATATGTGTCACAGAACTGAGCTCCTTAAGGTTTCAAAGGCTGATTTTTCAGAAGCAGATTGTCAGACTGTCCTTCTGAAGTACCTCTGGGTGGACCCAAACTAGCAACCTTTTGTCTTTTTTGCACCAACCAGAACTCCAAAACCAACTATAACTGCTCCACAGCATTTCCAAGGGTTTTGTAATCTTTATAGAAGCAGATTGCCACATCTTTCTCCTGTGGGTTCAAATCACTTCTGCCCCTTACACTTATTTTATGTCTTATTTCCCTACGGACACACTTTACATGTTAAGGACCACACTTTGGGTTTGTTTGATCCAGCGTAGGCTCCAATGTTAGATGATCACCTTGTTGGATGTAAATCCTCCCTTGGGGAGTCTGAGGGGAGGGGCTCGTTGCTGGAGATCTCCCGTTCTTGCACAAGCACGTCTTTGACCTCTCCATCCTTGGGAGATGTGAGCAGCTGAGTCCTGGAGAGAGTATTTGTCTCCATATCCTTGGTACTTCCAGGGCTGCTGGCATCTTCCTTTTTTGTTGAAGCACTGGAAGAAAAAGTCCAGAGAAGTCTAAGGTCCAGTCGTGGGCAGAGAGGTCTCTGGGATGCCATGAAGGAGTGATCATCCCCGCTACAGCAAGATCCCCACGCCACCTTCTCAGGTTGTTGTTATAATTACATGTTTGATTTTGTTGTGGTGGTTGTGACTACACACAGACACCAACTCAACAATTTTTACATGTACAATTCAGTGGCACAGATCACGCTATGTAACCCATTCTCTACCCTCTTTTCCTGAACTGTTTCTCTCTCCTTACCAGAAACTCACTGCCCCGAAGTGGTAAGGTTCCTATCTAATCTTTCAAGTTGCTGTAGTCAGTTTGGTCCTATCTAGATAGATCTTAAAAGAGCACAACCTTCAAAATAGACACTCCCCCCCCCCTTTTTAACTGAAGCAAAAACAAGTAGCGCATTACTGTTCTGCTCCACGTTTCTCATGGAGCAGGAAAGCAGCAAGCACTTGGTGCAAACAGAGAAGTCTGCTCTGCAGTTGGAGGCCTGGGAGGTGAGACTCTTTCAAGGACCATAAGGAGACACTACACAAACCAAGGCTGAATGTGAGGATGGTACAAGACAGGATGTGAGAATGGGCAAAGTTCTGGTCTGTCCACAGATCATTACGATTTATAATCTACTTGATGGCACCTTGCAACAACACAAAGCAGACTTGTTGCAAATGGGCAGGAAGGTCTGGGAATGGTTGGTGAGAAAGGATTTTCACCTATTAACTAGTTTCATCAAGGTTTCATGTGTCTCAGCAGTGAAAGCCATCTGGACAGGCCTGAGTAAAGGTTTCGACAGGAAGGATCTCATTCCAGGTAGAGGGAGCCTTGGTGTCTTAATGGCAAGGAATAGCACTGCCATTGCAAAGATCCTCAGTTCAAATCCTCCAGCTGCTCTATGGGAGAAAGATGGGCCATTTCCTCTTGTACCATTTATTGCCTCTAAAAACAAATGGGAGAATCAACTATGGGTCAGTTTAGAATCCATGGTACACAAAACAACATTCCAGGCAGAGATCTTTTAAGGTAGACAGTCTTGACATTGTTTTTTTCATAAATCTTTGTCTATCTCCCTATTTCTTTAAGACAGAGTCCTAGATATTGATTCACCAAGGAAGAGACCTAGGTAGCTGGAAAAAGGCGCAGAGGGAGGGAGGTTTAGTACCTTTTCACACTGTGGTAATTCTGTGCTAAAGTTCAACTTATTTTTGTTCATTAAACTACTGTCAGTCCTGAAAAGGTCCATGAAATATTTTTTGGTTTCAAGTTTAAAGATTACCTCAGGACACTCACTCCTGCTCCTGCTGTGGGCCATACCTAGGTCAAAGTGAAGATAGGACCCTTGGGCATGAAGAGGCTTTCAGCAGTGGGGAGTGTTTTTCTCCCTCTTAACAGAATGAGGAGCCCTCTGTCAGCAGCCTCCGTGGGAGATGTTTAGAAGAATAGGCACACTCTCTAGGGCTTGGAAGCCGGAGACCTGGGGTGGACGACAGGCTTAAGCCCCCATGGCTGCTGGTCTTGGTCATCAGATCCCCAGAGGATGGTGGCAGGGCCCCCTTCCGGGGCGGGGGTGGGTGTGGGTGAAGAGTAAAGCAGGATCAGTCTTGCCTTGCTATTCTGACCAGGCGAGGCCCTGCTTCCTCCACCTAAGCACCCACACCGGCCCCCAGGAAAGCAGCTGCCCCCGTCTCAGGGTGTCTTCCCTCCCGGAAAGACCCACATGCGCAGGACTGAGCTGACAGGTAAACGTTCAGCTCTGTTTGCGGCTTCCTCCTCTTTTCTCTCTCTACAAGAAGCCTTAAACTGTGGTTATTGGACCAATTAACCAGCAAGAGGAGAGGGCTGGGGGGTCATGGCCCTTAGTGACAAAGGAAAAGGTGGCTGTTGTGTAGAGTCAAATTGAAACCTTCCCTCCAGCAGGTTTTCAGAGGCAGCAAATTGCATGGGAACTGATGGTCCATCTTTCTCCTGCAGGGCTGTTGGTGGATTCAAACTCTGTGCTTTTGGGTTGGCAGGGCATTTCCTTACCACTGAGCCACCAGCACTCCCTAGGAGGTGGTAAGAGGGATCCAAAGACCCCTGCTACCCAATTCTTGTCCTGCATGTGACAATTTTCTGCAAGAGGCTTTGGGCCATCTCATACAACCATCTGTATAACTCAAAATAGCAATAACAATGTCTTTCCATCCAAAATCTGTGTCCAGGGACTGCATCTGTTCATTCAACCCCCCAATGGCTTTAATGTTGTTGTTGTTGTTGCCATTTTAGAGACCAGGAAACAGAGACAGACTTTCATGCCTCGCCTGAACCCTCAGGGACAGCCCCCTGTCCCGACCAACTGTTCCACAGGACACCTAGGAAGTGGGCTTGTTATGTGACTCTTGACATTCTCCTTGACACAAAGTCAAAATGAATATCATGTGAAAGAAAAACTGGCAGTTTTAGATGATGTGATGGCCAGTCACCTGGCAAATGGAAATATCACAAGGAAGGGTAGGCGAAGGGGAACCCCACAGTTCAGTAGAGGATGGAACCCTGACGTGCTTCCCCAGCTTCCCCACTGCATCTCTTCTACCATCAGTGCTCAGATCTGGGAAGGGAGCCCCTATTCTCTCTGAGCCTCACTTGTCTCATCAGTCTAATGGGATCATAATTCCTACCTTGTGGGGCTGCAGTGAAGATGGAGGTGACACCAGCGATGGCTGGTTCAGAACCAGCCCCAGTGGGCCTCACAGACCTTGTGAGAACTGGAAGCAGTGATGCCCACCCTGACCACCCAGTGGCTGGGACGTGAAGGACAGTTCATTCACGCCACTCCTTCCTCTGTCCAGGAGGACCAGGTGGTAAGCAAGCAGAGCAAGAAAGTCACTCACGTGGCCACGTCTTTGAACGTCTTCCTGGCCTTCGATTTCTTTCCAGGTTTGGTAGAAAAAGGGGCAACGCCCAGCCCAAAGCTCTGTCCATCAGATTCACCTACAAGGTGGCCTTCAGCATCTGTCAGCCCCGCCTGGATGGAGAAGCCAGCCCAGGAGCATGGGTTAGGGTGTTTAGGTCCTTTGGGTGGGGGAGAGTCTACCAATTCTCACCCCAGTGTACGTGGCTTAAAGGTTTGAGAGGAGCAGGGTTTCCCCCATGAACTGAGGCCTGGCTACTGTTGTTGACTTCAGGCTTTCCCAACAGAGCTGTCCCTGACCACCCTGTCCAATGTCCACTTCCTATTGCAGTCCCTTTCACAAGCCTGGTGCCTCAACCTATGCCCCCCAGATCTTAAAGGCCTATTTCTCACCCGACTCCAGGTACTGGTTTTAGTTATTATCAACCATGCTTCTAATTTCTTAAAATAATTTTAAATCTGTATACGGTTTACTCTTACAAGAGCAATGCTTATCCTGAGGTTATTCTTATCTATTTGCAATCCTAGATCTGCTTTGATGCAGGCCACATGCTGCCTCCAGAATGATGTGGACAGAGAAAAGTTCTGAGAAGAGGCAAGAGAGAAACCATACTTGCCTTCTGGACAGCAGAAATGGCTGCAAAGTCATTCTTGTCTATGAGCGTGTACTTCCTGCGCAAAGTGGCCTCCACATCCTGTTCCTGTTGGCTTGAGGGAGAAAGCGACAGAACACTTTGCACCTGGGTCATCAAGAACCCGCTGGAGCAAGAACCAAGTGCCAGGGATAGAGACTGTTTGGATGCTGCCCCTCCTGACAGAGCGATCCACCAGATGGAGTAGTTAAGACGCGATCATCTCCACCTGCATCTTCAACACACACATCCATCGCTGAACCCACACACCTGCTGAGCCACCCGCATGTGCCAGGTGGCCAGACCACCAGCAGACCCCTGGAAAACTGCAGATTTGCTTCCAGGCCAATGCAATCAAGTGGCTAACAGGATAAAACGAGTCACCTGAATTTCTCCATCTCCCAGTACATTAAGAAAAAGAACACATTTGCATTCTTTTACAGTCTACCAAGTGTGCAACAGCAGATGAAACATTCGAAATATTATGAGAATTAGCAAAATGTGATGCAGAGGCACAAAGTGAGCATATGCTATTGGAAAAATGGCACCAACAGATTTGCTTGAAGCAGGGTTGCTACAAGCTACCAATCTGGTTTTAAAAAAGCTCAAAATCATGATCTCTGAATCATAAAAAAATGAAGAATGTTTATCGCGGCTTTGTTCACAATAGCAAACAGTTGGAAACAACCTAAGTGTCCATCAACAAACAAATGGATAGAGAAGCTGTGGTATAGTTACACGATGGAATACTACGCTGCATTGAAAAACAAGGAACTCATTAAATAGTATTCAAAATGGGTGACCCTGGAGGACATTATGCTGAGTGAAGTATCTCAGTCACAAAAGGACAAATGGTGCATAGTGCCACTGCTGTAAAACAGGACTGACATGGGGGTTGGGGGGAGCCTGAGAAAGATGGGATAAATAATGTATACTGCATTGAAACAGATGACGGAAGAGAATGGTTTAAAAAGAGATTTATGATTAGGTATTATTGTCATGACAGGAGTCCAGAACGAATTCTTGGTGGGAGGGACTGTATAACAATGAAAGAATTTTTCTTTTACTTCTCAAAGAGAAGAGAGAACTAGGGGGGAGGTTGGGCAGAGAGAAAAGTGCAACAATAAATGAATGGCAATCCAAAGTCTCTGTAAACTTTCATTAAAATTAATAAACAAACAAAAAATGAGGAATGTGTGCCTGTTTAAGTGTCCTGAAAGGCACACTCTCTTGTCTGGTTTCTATCTCTGATAGACCCCATTGGGATCATGTGACCGATCCTGTGGCACCACCCAGCATGGGCTGCTCAGGCTACTGGTGTGTCTCCAGTCAAACAAAACACCAGTGCATCCTGGGGAGCAGGGAAGGTGCTTTTACAATGTCCTGTTCAGTCTATGTCCTTGCTGCCCATAAAGACCTCAGATCCAACTAATGAACTCAGTAACTTTCCTCCAGGGGCCCCAGGGACCTCCCCGTCTCCCAGCAGTCCTCCAGTGGAGAGCTGTCCTCCCCACTTTCCCCAGGGAAAGTGAAGGGTGGGAGGATCCCAGCGTCAGGGTGGCAGGGACACCAGGGACCAATCAAGCCACATCCTAAGGCCTCGAGCCTGGCTTCTTACATATGAGAGAGGGCAGGAGGCTGTGTGCTCTGAGGCAGCTCCCTGGGAAGCCAGGAGAAAGAAGCAAGCAGGCTGAAGCCGGAGTGTTGAGGGGAAGGGCTGGCCCCTCACCTTAGTACCACTCGGAACTGGTTGAACACCTCTCGGATCTGTCTAAGGTTGATTATCTGGGAGGACAGGGGAGAAAATAACAAGGCAGAGGTTAAACAGTGGGGTACCCGGAAACCGATGTGTCTAGGTTAGATGAGAAGCCAAGGTCCTTTGGCTGAGCCAGGGCCGTGTGTCTTGAGAATGGCATGTGTGCAGACCACCTCTCAGCAAAGCGGCAGTCAAGGATTCCTCCAGGGTAGAGTAACACCTGATTTTAGAGTTCTGAGACTTAAGTATTTTCTCTGGCTATAAAAAAACACCTTTTCAAGCTCTCTATAAAACGAAAATGGCTCAATAATTCTTAAAAAGATCTCCTAAAGGGAAGAAAAATGTGTTTCCATTCTCTCCTGCTTCCATAGGAAGCTCTGGTGGCCTAGTTGCACTGCCAAACCTGAAGGCATGTGGTTTGAATCTTCCAGTTGCTCTGCAGGAGAAAGATGGGCAATCTCCTCCCGTGAGCCAGGGGTCTGCTATGGGTCAGTTCTGACTTGATGGTGCAAATGACCTGCTTCTGTAAGATTCCACCTGGCCTCTTCAGAACTCTCTGGCAAAGCTTTGTCAAAAGCTGTGTTCCTTCACAGATACAGATATGCCTGAGGTTGGGGCAAGGTTACTGTCAGCTTCAGCTTCCCTGCAGGCCCTAAACTCCTTACAGTTTACCCTTGTCGAAGGTCAGTCTGGGGCTATCCCAAGTGGAAGGCCAGAAGAGTCTGCCCCTCAGCTGTGCACGGCAGCTCCTGTGCTAACAGGCCATGGAATCTGCCCATGTGGCTCTGCTAGCTGCACTGTGAACACAGGACTCATATCTTCCCGTGAAGACCCCAGCTTGTGTGGTTGTGGTCTCTCCCTCTGACTCACTGGAGAATGTGCCCTGCAGACAACAGGCGTGAATTCTCTCTGGCCTCACTCTGAGGTGCTGTAGCCCAGTTACTCCCAACTCCGCTTCCCGCCTCACTGGACAGGGGAGGTAACTGTGGTTCGTGAGGTTGAGAGATTTGCTGAGTTCACTTGCCAGGCAACTTAGTGAGGATTTCATTCCAGAAGCCTGGCTCCTGGGGCCAGACTTATGACCTTTGTATGCCTGGTATGAGGCTTCTGTTCCCTCAGAGCAGCACCCACATCGGTGTGTAACTCGAAACACAGACGCTGAGGCCACGGTGGCTGCAGGACCTGCCACCAGGTGTCCATCTCTGCCATCCCACCCCATCTCGCCCACTCAGTGAGGGGTCCCCAGGGTGTGCCCTGGGTGGGAAGGACCAGGCCGGCTGGTTCTGGCAGTCCTGTGAAGGGGATCCTTACATCAATCTCATCCAGCGTCCCCTCCAAGTATCTTCGAACCTGGGAGTTGATCTCGGCAATCTGGATTTCATCCAGGGGGTCGTAGGTCACAAGGGTGCGGCTGGCCTTCAAGAAAGATGCAAAACCAGTGAGTAAGCTCTGAAGAGTGAGTCAAAATAGGGGCTGCAGGGGCGATTCCAGGAGCTAAGGAAGAGAGGCTGGCCACAGGCCCAGGTCACTGTAACAACTTCCAGTCTCTTCACCATCAGGTCCTGGTGGAGAGGGCCTGACATGCAAGCCAGGTGCTCAAAGAGCGGCCGTGAGGTGAGGGAGGATGGATAGGCCGCCAGGACTGGAGCCTGCTGCTTTGGACAAGAGGGGTCTGCTGGCTGAGTATCAGCAGACTCCGCAGGATGATGGCCATGGGAATGGACACTGCCCTGGCCCAGAAGTCACCTCATGACCAGCCCAGGCAGGCCACCGTCAAGCTTCTGTCCTACACTCGTCTTCATGGCTAGCCTCTCCCATTTCTAGCCTGCCCTAGCTCCCCTAACCCATTGTGCCCTTGGCCCTCAGTATTCACACCCACTAGGCCACTGCTCCTGCCCACACCCTGTGCTTTCCAGTATCCCTGAGACCTGGCTTCCTTGGTCTTGATTTTCTTCTTGGTCTCTTCTTAGCATTCCAGGTCTCAGTTTCCCCAGTATTCTTGGCCACTCAACCTGCCTTTCCACTTGACCCTTCTGTCTGCAGGCCTGTTTCCCCAGTCTCCCTGGCTACTTGATGCCCCCTAGTTAACCAGCCCTCCCATCTACCCAGTCTCCCTGCTCACCCCTCCCTATGTCCATCCTGCATCCCTACTCTCACCTCCTTGCTGCTCTCCGCCTTGTCTTCCTGTCCATTTAGTGCCTCTGACCCCCATCCTCCTAGGCTCACCCTGCCTTGGTATCACCACTTCCCCTGCTCCACGCGCCCCTACCCCCAAACCCTTACCAGGCTGTCATGGATGGCCAGCTCCTGCTTGAGAAGTGCTAGCTCCTTCTCCAGGTTCTTCACCATCCGCTGTCAGGGAAACACAGCAGGGGGCATGGAGGACAGGGAAGACCATCAAGTTAAACAGTCGGCCTCCCCCACATCAACTGGACAGTGCCTCACCCTGCGCCCAAATGTGCTGGCCTCCCCCAGTCTGACCTGAGCATGTGATGCTTTCCAATCCCCATGACCCTTTCCCAACTGGGGTGTGTCTAGGGTAGAAGACATCAAGCAGTTCCCTGTTCTCTTCCTTTGATAGTTAAGGAAATTAAGAAACAGCACAAGCACTAGCAGAACCAGCCTGAACCCTAATTCCTAGAGGCTGCGAGCTGTTGCCAGTCTATCAGGACACTGGCTCACAGCCCCACCTCCAGGTCTCTTCCCCCACCCCTGTCCTTCACATTCATTTCATAAAAACAACATAACTTCTGAAGTCATTCCGCACTTGTAATTTTTTTCTTCTTAAGCTTTATCTTTTAAAAAATAATTTTAATGAGCATTTACAGAGATTTTGGATTTCCATTCATTCATTGCTGCACTTCTCTCCCCGCCCAGCCCTCTCCCCTGCCCAAGTTCGCTCCTCTCTTTCAGAAGTAAAAGAAACACTCCCTCCCTGGGACACAATCCCCCCACACCCCTCCCGCCACCTCAAGTACATTCCACTGTGCAACCTTAATTGTGGACTCTTGTGATAGCCATAATACCCTATCATACATCGCTTCTAAATTATTCAGTCCCTCATCTGTTTCAGTGCAGTATACACAATTTATCCAGTTTTTCTCAGTCTTACCGCAACCCTGATATCAGTCCCATTTTACAACAGTGGCACCATGCAATATTTATCCTTTTGCAACTGAGATATTTCACTCAGCATAATGTTCTCCAGGCGCACTTGTAAATTTTGCAGCTACGTGTTGAAATGAGACTCTCTGTAGTAGAGTGGTCTCGAGGCTCTGTGTGATCCCCTCCTGTTTCCGCTTTACGGCCACTGTCTTCCAGTCTAGTTGATCTGCCTACTTACTCTTCCTCAAACCTGGCCACTGACTTCGGCCTCTGTACTGTCTGTCCTGAAATAACTCTTCTCCCAATTACTTCCATGGCTCACTCCTTTGCCTCCTTCACATTTTCATTCAAAGCTAACTTTTCAATTAAGTGCACCCAACTACCCTGCTTTATATTGCAGCCGTCATCTCACTCCTGCACGGCTCTTTTTACCATCTTGCTCTATTTTCCGTGCTGATGGAAGTGTTCTGCATCAGTACTACCCAGCACGGCAGCCACTCACTCACTGCCAATAAGCTGATTCCAACTCACAGTGATTCTCAATTGAGTTTCTGAGATTGTAAATCATTACGAGAGGAGACTGCCTATCTTTCTCCTGTGGAATGCTTAGTGGATTCAAACCCCCAACCTTTTGGTTCACAGCCCAGTAAGTAATGCATTATACCAGCAGGACCCCTTGGGCAGTCACTCAAGAAAACACCCCGAGCCACAGCCATTGAACCAAGCGTGACTCATTGTGACCCTTCCTCGGACTGTAAATTGTTCCAGGAAGAGACTGCTCATCTACATCCTATGGGGCATCTGTTGTAGTTGTGTAGTATCCCGTAGGAACCAACGCATAGCTGACCCTGCAGGGAGTTTTCAGAGATGATGGTTAACGGCCCAGGAGGAGACTATCTGTCTTTCTCTGGTAAAGCAGCTGGTGGATTTCAACTGCATGCCTTTGGGTTGGCAGTGCAACTCCTTGCCACTAAGCTGCCACAGCTCCAATGGGGCAGCTACTGGATTCAAACTCTAGACCTTTTGATTAACAGTTTGCATTCTATACTATATAAGACCATCTATCCTTATGGCAGACAATGTTGCTGTCACCGTCACTGTGTGCCATCGAGTCTCATTTAAAAATAGCTGCAGAACTCTTGTCTGAATTTAAAGACCATCTCAAGAGTCACTCCAACACACTGAATCTTGCAGACAAGTTGAGGGAGAACATCAAGAACATCTCATTCTAAGAAAGCAAAAAGTTATTAAAAAGATGGGAGGGAAAGAAAAGGCAAAAATGGATATCAGAGGAGACTCTAAAATTTGCTCTTGAATACAGAGTAGCTAAAATATAAGGAAGAAATGAGGAAGTGAAAATCTGAACAAATGATCTCAAAGGGTGGTTTAAGAAGACAGTCATATATTATAGTGAAACATGAAAAGATCTTGAGTTAAAAAACTGAAAGGGAAGAATATACGTAGGATTTCTTACCGTGAAGGAAAAAAAAATAAAATCAACCCTTGAGTTGCAATATGGAAAGATTCTATTGAATTACACAATAAGCATCAAAAGAAGATGGAAAGAATACACAGTCACTGTACTAAAAAGAACTAAATGAGGTTCAATCATTTCAAGAGAGAGCATATGATTAAGAACCAATGGTACTTGGAAGTCCAAATTACACTGAAGACATCCGAAGACTAAGATTTCATGAATTAACAGAATACCAGTCAAGACATTTTAGCAAAGCTCCCTTCTCTATGCCAACAAAACCGGAAGAGAATTACCTGGCCAATCAACTGGAAAAGATGTCTATACACGCCTGTTCCAAAGAAAAATGACACAACACAATTGAGAAATGATTGAACCATTATTGAATCATTACTACAACAGATGATATAACAGAATATAGAAACAATTGAATCATTATTAGCTCTGTGGTAAGAATCATTATTACTTAGGTGGTAAGAATCTGCGCTGCAGTCCTGAAGGCACGCAGTTCAAATCCACCAGCTACTCCATGGGAGAAGGCTAGGCAATCTCTTCCCGGTGTGATTAACTGCCTCTGAAAACCCACTGGAGGGTGAACTATGGGTCAGTTCTGACTCTACGGTACACTACAACATCACACACAGGAAAATTTTGCTGAAGATCATAATTTAAAAACAATCGCAGCAGTAGTACATCAGCATGGAATTACCAGAAATTCACACCAGATTCAGAAGAGGCTACAGGATAAGGGATATTATTGCTGCTATCATGTGGATACTGACTAAGAGTAGAGAATACTGGAAGGATGTTTGTGTTTACACAAAAGGCATTTTGACTGCTGGAGCACAACAAATTATGGATAATATTTCAAGGAACAGGAAGTCCAAAACAACTTACTTATACATACCCTGTACATAAATGAAGAAGTTGTCATTAGAACAGAAGCAGGGGATACTTCAACATTTAAAATCAGGAAAGATGTAGGGTTGTATGTGATCATCATACTTATTCTGAAAGCTAGACCTCACAGAGAAGAACAAAGCATCAGGACTGGAGGAAGACTCGGTAACAACTTGTGATATGCAAATGACCCAACTGTGCTTGCTGAAGGTGAGGAGGACTTGAAGCAGCTACTGATGAAAACTAAACAGTGAAGACATTAGTAAGCATTACTCTTCTGCAGAAAGCTAAAAGTCCTTAAAACAAGAACATCAAAATGGAAAAAAGATAGAGGTGGCCAAAGATTTTCTTTTACTTGGATCCACCATCAATGCACATGGAAGTGGCAGTCAAGAAATCAAATGTGTTGCATTGTGTCGTTAAAGTGCTAAATGGCAAGGGTGTCACTTGGAGAACTCAGGTGCGTTTGACCCAAGCCATGATATTTTCAACTGTTTCATATGCCTGTGGGATAAAGACCAAATGAGAACTGAAGCTTCTGAATTATGAGGCTGGCAAACTATGGACTGCCTGAAGATGGCACAAATCTACCTCGGAAAAAGCTGAGTCAGAAGCAAGTTCTCAGAAGCAAGAACAGGGTGAGTCTATCCCATTTACTTTGTATATATTACTAGGAGGACGAGTCTCTGGAAAAGCAAGGGATCAGAGAAAAAGGAAGACCCTCAATGGATTGACACAGCATCTGCAACAATGGGCTCAAACACAGCAAAGGCTGTGAGGCTGGTGCAGGGCCACGCAGTGTGGCATTCTGTGGTCACTGTGTGTCCCAGGGACTTGAAAGCACCTGACACCAGAAGACATCCACAGAGCCTCCTGTAGCGACTGAGCACTGGAAATGTGTCTTATTCGCCCAAGGAGGCGTGTGTGTGTGTGTGTGTGTGTGTGTGTGTGTGAAACTAAACAGATAACAAAATATCTGCAATATTTAAAGTATTGATGTGAACAACTGGAAGGAAATTTTAATTAATTTCAAGAGTCCTATGTAACACTCATTTACTGTATCAGACCGTGAAGCTCTAGAAGATACCTACTCACTACGTTTTATTATCTGTCTCATCCACTTCTATCAGAGTGTAAGTTTCTCCAAGGGAGATTTATGTATTTCTTCAAACACTATATCCATTCAAACACTCATATATTCCAGTGCTTCAAAAAAGTGTCTGACACACAGTGTTGATGTCTTAGGTACCACCGAGTTGAGTACAGCTCACAGTTACGCTATGGACAATAGATATGAACCTTATTCTGTGTCATCCTCACAATATCTGACACACTCGGGCCTCCTGTTGCAGTCACTGTGTCAGTCCACCTGGTGGAGCGTCTTCCTATTATTTGGCAGGAAGTCCTTCTCTAAGGTAACTTCTCCTAGTATTATGTCCAAAGAACATGAGAATAGGCTTTATCATCTCTGCCTCTGAAGAACACTCTGGCTGCACCTTCTCCAAGACATATCTGTTTGTCTCTCTGGCAGTCCATGAGATAGTCAGTACTCTTCTCCAACACCACAGTTCCAAAGGTGTCAATTCTCCTTCTGTCATCCTTATTCATTGCCCAGCTCTCAGATGCATACAAAGTGAATGAAAAGGCCATGGTCTGAATCAGGCACACCTTAGTCCTCAAACTAACATCATTACTCCCCGATAATTTCAAGAAGTCCTTGACTACAATTTTCTCAGTGCAATACATCTACTGATCTCCTGACTGCAAGCATCAATTACATTAATTGTGGATTGAAGTAGGAAGAAGCCATTTACACTTTAAATCCTTTCTCCATCTATAATGATGTTGTCTATTGATCCAGTGATAAGAATTTTTTTTTCAATGTTGGGACACATTCCACATTGAAAGCTGTACTCTTTGATCTTCTGCAGCAAGTGCTTCAAGTCCTTCTCACTTTTAGCATACAAGGTTGGGCAATCTGCATAACGAATGTAGGTTACTGATGAATCTTCCTCCAATCCTGATGCCACATTCTTTATAGAGTTCAGCTTCTCGAATAATTTGCTCAGCATACAGGTTAAAGAGGCATAGAGAAGGGATAGCGTAGCATACAGTAAGTGCCCATAAATTTTTTGTGAGTGGATAAATGATGCATTTCTAGAAGCAGAACTGCTAAGTGATTTTATAGTTGACAGTGGTAACCTTGGTGTTTCATAAAAGAGGCACAAGGATATTTAGGCTGAGAAGCCGGGCTGCACATGAAGCTTCTTTCAGTTGTCAAAAACCAGCCACTGGAGGGAGCCCATGACAGCTAGCCAAAGCCACAACCAGCCCGCAACCTCTATGGCCAGCTCCCAGACCAAAGACCAGCTGTACACTAGTTCTATGCAGCTAGGTCACCTGGACAATGAAGCACACCTGCCATTGCATCCCTGCACAGCAATCTCGGGTTCCTGACGACAGACTGTGGCATCTCGGTCTCAGGGCGTGGAGAGTAAGTCTCGAGGAACATGAACAGGGTTCAAATCTTGGCTCCACCCCTCTGGGCAGCCCCAAGAAAGTCTCCTTTAAGGGAACCTCCCGTAGAGTCAAGGCAGAAGCTTGGTGGCCTGTCCTCTTTCTCATCCCTATTCTCACCTCTTCCATTCTGTTCTAAACAACGCGTTATGCCGCAGTGAGAGGAAATGGCTCTGAGGGCCTCTGGCTGGATGACTCTGCCCAATACAACACTGGGGCATGCTCAGATCTCTGGACCAATGAGAAGGTGATATATAGATAGATGGACCACATCTGCCATCATGGTTCATGAACCGTCCCTTCTCCTCGTATGAGCTTCCACATCATAGCCTGGAAGCATGAGAACCACTGCTAATGCCTGGCTGAGTGGCCCCCAACTTCCTTTTCTACTGAATGGAGAATAGCTGCCTGGAAACGCAGGACTGGATCTGCAGACCCTAAGGAACAGGGCTTGGCAGCACCGCCAGGCTGACTCCTCCCTAAAAACCAGGGGCATTCTGATTGCAAGTAACACCGATGCAGGTAAGCATCCTGATGGTTACAATTTCATCATAAACGTCCTGAGGATATTTCAGCAGGTCTACTTAGGGCTCACACCAGGCTAAGTTGTGATCCCACTGCAGCCTGCAGGTGAACTTTCTCTCGGCAGAGTGGAATGCATCGATTCTCTGGCCCCTGTTTATACTCATGGCTCCCAGCCCCTTCAGCTGCCTTCCAGAACCACTGACAGATCAACAGAGTCAATGAAGAGCTTCAGTTCAACCTCCTTGTGCACAGAGGAAGAGCTTGTGGCTTAGGGTTTCAGCAACTTGCCTCAGAGACTTCAGGCTTAGAAGGAGCAGGTGTGGTCTGAGAACCCAGGCCTCCAACCATACAGCCAGCCCCAGGGTGCAAGAAAATTCTGCACAACTACGTAAACCTTTAGAAAACAGGTGCCAATATTGAGGAGAGTGCTGGAAATAGAGAATTTTAGGTATACTCTAAAAAAGACACCAACCAAAGTAATATACTACGCTTTTATCAAGAGCTCATGTTTCTAAAGAAAAATGTTTTGTGATTGGTCAGCTCTGCTTGCTTGGAAGAGACACTATGACTGGGAGCAAATAGGGGAACTGGCCCTGGGGTCAACAGGAGGGAAAGGATAATGTCTGTGTCTGCTTCAGCTGCAGTCTTGGTCTTCTGGGAAAGTGGATCTGTTTTACTCCAATTCAGCTAATCAACAAGTGTAGTGTATTCATTCAGATGGTGTTTGGTGAATACCTATACGATATTAGCCTAAAAGTTGGGTTTTTTAGTCATTACAGTTAACCTCCTCTGGTCTCGAGCTATCTTAACTGCAGACACATGGTCTTGCAAATCAGCATGGTCTAACAAATCATCAACAGCCATAAAGAAAGATAAGAGAAAGAGTGTTTCCCACATGAGGCATCAAGACTTGAGGTAAGTGAGACCCTGGCGGTGGAGAGACTGTAGCATTGCTGTGGAGAAACTGTAGCAAGGTGTAAGCAGAGGAGCCCCTGAGATAAAGGCCACAGTTAAAGGCTTTTGCTGTTCTTGCCAGATGCTTGAAGGAAAAGCTGACTTATAACTGCTCTGAGGCAAAACTTGAATGATTTGCACTTGACTGCTGAACTGAAACCAGAACCTGGACTAACTGAGGAATTGTGCCTTGGAACTTAGACTAAAACCTGGATTTGTATTGGGTGATATTCTTTGTGTCCCCCACTGCATAACTTACTTTCCTAATAAACCCCATTCTCAGTACCACAACTGAGTTTGTGAGTAAACAACAAATAAATGAACCTCTTGCTTTTGGCATGGCTCTAGAGACACCATGGGGCTGGGCTAAGGGCTGTTTATCTGTTTTTGCTCTAGGGCAGTGAGGGGCTGTGGTATTCTTACTCCCTGTGGCCCTTTCAGAGAAAGGCTTACAGCCCTGTATCTCAATGTCCCATTTTCTCCATACTAGACAATCTACGACTTTGGATCAGCTCTATGTAAGGGGTTTGTAACCCAAAGAGGAGTAACCGGTCATAGGGGTAGAGGAAGGCTAAGTGAATAGCAATTGTAGGTGGTGGCTCAGAGTGTCTGTATTTTCTTCAGTGACCCTGAAAGTGCTCAATCGTGTATCCTTTGGGGTCATGAACACATGCAGGGTCACTGGTCTCAGGTCCTTTGGACTAACCAACTCTGGATTTTCCTCAAATAAAAGTAATAGGAGACAAGTGGCTGAAACCTGGCCCAGAAGTGGGTAGTACAATTAATCCAAATTAGATTGTCCCTATCTTCAGAAATACTTAAGGGTGGAATGGGAAGATGACTAAAATTCGCTTCAGAGTAATGCCAAGGTGGAGAAAGACAGAACAGAATTGGCCAGGAACTGATAACTGTTAAACTGGATGACAGGCCTAAGTGAGCTCATTCATTGTTCTGCCTTTACATATTCTTGAAATAGTCCATAATTTAAAAAAATTAAAAACAAATACATAAACCTCAATCCCCCCTCTTCTGTTGCTTGTCTTTTCTAGGGAAACAGAACATATATTTTCACTCCACATCTTTGCCAAACACTAACCGCCCCCTTTCCCTTTTATAAGACTCCTCTCCAAAGGCTCTTCTCCTTTCACCATGCCAACACCTTTCATGCACCACCCTCCCTCTTTTGCTCCTATCACAGCTGAGAGGTGGGGAAGCTTCTCCTCCAAGAACTCACTTCTCCCCAACAATTCTGCCTCCTCTAGAGAACTCAGACATTGGGAGCTCAGAACAGGGCCTGGTCTCTAACACAGGGATTTTTTTTAATTTTTTTAATTTTTATTTTTTTGTGCGTGTACCGTCAAATTGGATCTGACTGGTACAGGAAGAGATTGCCCTTCCTTCTCCAGCAGAGCATCTGGTGGATTCGAACTGCAAACGTCTGGCATTGCAGTTGCAGCTTCTTGCCACTAGGCCACCAGAGCTCCCTAAAACAGGGATTTGTGCAACACTAGTGAGTGTGTTCCACCTCCCTTCTCTTACCAACCAGAGTAGGGGAGTCATAGGTGCTTGCCCTGTTCCTTGGTAAAGGCAAGAGGCGTGGCATGACGTGTAGGGAAAAGACAGCCCTGGCACGGGAAAAGAATCATGGACATTACTCCTTGCTTCTGAGCGCAGCTGAGTAAAACCAACCCCTCCAGGCATGTGGCAGAAGAGACGACTAAAATTCAGCAGGGACCCCACAGCAAAGATTCTTAGTGACATAACCAGCAAGTCTGAGAGGTGGTTCCCATTGATTTTGCTCTGGGACACTGAGCTCTAGTGAAAGCTCATATAGGAGCGCTGGGAACTCAGAGCCTCTGAAGTCCCTACATGAGAATGGAGGGTAGCTTGACCGATCTCCTTCCCTCCATGGTGGCTGCTAAGGACTTCAGGGACTCGAAAGACTCTGGTCTGTTCCAGAGAGGAGAGAGGGGCCCAAACCTGCCTGGTACCGGCTAGAGACAGGGAAGGAGGCCAGGCTCATATAACCCAGGCTGTAAACCCACACACCATCGCCACAGCGAGGAGCCTGCCCAAGGGCCTCTTAGTACCTTAGCGTCATATCTTTCATTGATAGCTGGCTCAGTGGGGATGAGTTTCATCCTGCTGGCGAATCTCAGGGAAGATAGCTGAAAATGGATCAGAGAGACATTTAGTCAGCTCTCCACCACTCTAAGCGTTTCTCTTGTAACCCTTCAGAGTTCTATAAAGTTAGCCCTGGGCAGAGCCCTAGAATGTGTAGAGACAAGCTTCAAGGGAAAGAAGGCCCCTTGTGCTATGACTATCATGGAGGTGGAGGGGGCAATGAAGAGAGAAGGAAAGTTCCTACTGTTTAAAGGACATCTTTCATAAGAAAGCAGCCAGGTGGCTCAAGTTTCTTATGGCCCCTCTTGGGATTCAACTATGCTTCATTATAAAATGAAACCAGGAGATGCCTGAGCCCTTCCTCCAGAGATGCTGCCTGTACGTCAGCCACAGCTCCTCTCTGCAGCCGTGCAAATCCCAGGGTGCTGGCTGTGTGACAGGAGCGCTCCCCCTGGAGGCTGGGTTCGTCCCTAATACACGTGTCTGGGACAGAGGCCCCTGCAGGAGTGGCTTGCTCTACAGCATTCCTGGAAATGACCCGTTTTATGTCAGTAGATTCTTCAGATGACTAAAACTTTATAAACACCCACACTTGAAAAGTAATTATTTCTAAGGGAAGCTTGCTAAACTGTTCTAGGATGGGTGACACTTCTGAGGAAAGCACAAGGAGGAAGCCCAGCTGGGAGGCCCCAGCTGCGTGGACGCCCCTCTGTCACTGCCTTAGCCCCAAGTCTGGCCCTCTTACTCTCATGAGCTTGTCCTGGAGTCACAACTCTGGGCGTACCCCTGCCATACCCAATCCTGTGACAGCTCCAGCCACGTGCAGAAAAGCATCCTAGACCTCGGCCTGACCAGCCCAGCTCTGCTGTCCTGCAATGTCCTCTCCTTCCTGAGCCTCCTCTGCAGTAGGCCGGGATGTTCCTGACGGGAGCCCTACCTTCAGCGTCACCACCTTCTCTGCCAGGAACATCTCCGCCCACCCCTACCACCCAAGCTTTAACCCAGCTCAGTGCCTCCTTGCTCCCACCGCTGCTATAAGAATAATCCCCCAGCTTTCCCTACAGGGCTCCTCCCCCTTGTCTCTCATATTATACAGGGTCCTTCGTTCATCTCTCTTCCTGGGCTGGGGGCTCTCCCATTTCTACCATCTGCTCTTCATCACTTCACACTTGACGGGTACTTAATACCTGTCTGCTCACACCAGGATCATAACTGCAGCCTGCACGCTTGCAGTGGTTTCAAGATGTTTACCACAGGTGATTATGAAGCCCAAAGAATTGACCTTACGATCTTCTCCATCCACATGAGCAGCCCCCTAGAAACCATAATCTTTGCTCCCTCCACTTCAAAGTTACTCTTAGACCCTCCTTTCACCTCTTATCTAATCCCCAGTTCTCCCCTCCTCCTCCACACAGCATCAGCCCCTTAGTGTCTGATCTTAGCTCTGGGCCTCTCTTGGCAATTCTCACCCTGACTCTCTAGACACATCCACTCTTAACAATGTTTATGGCTAATGCAACAGGATGACCAGCCTTATGCAACCCTGCCACCCATGAATAAGGATGCCAACCTAGTCACACTGGCCGGCTTTTACATACCGTCTCTTCTAACTGGGAGGCTTCTCCATAGACATTTGTCACAAGGACCATATTGCAGTTTCCTCCTGCAGAAAGCAGTGCATAAAAGGGCCATGAACCAGGTGAGTACTTTGAGGCAAACAGGGATCAGAGAGGACACACTCCAGCAGGCATGAGGCTGGGAGGCGAGGGGAAAAGAGAGTGAAGGGAAAGAGATCACTTGTGCCTGAAAGAGAAGATAGGGGAGTATAGGAAAGGAGAGATTTGGGTGAAGGGAGGGGCGGTGTTGTGGGGGGGAAAGGAGTGTGAGCCGAGGCTTTGCCCATGATGGCGCTCAATTTATAATCTGACATCAATAACTTGTTATCAGGCCCAACAGAAAGGCCTGGGGATATGCACTGACAAGACATAGGCTTTACTTCTCTGTAAGTGAGTTTGCAGGGGAAAGGAGAGAATCATGGGAGGGGCCCTCTACCTGGGTCTTCCAGCTGGTTTGGGGACAGAGGAAAGTTAAAGGGTCCAAGTAAAGGTCTTAATAAGTGAACAGCATGGCATATTCTGAGCGTTAGAATGGTGTTGGGTAAATGACAGGAAAATATCTTCTAACAGAGCAAGAAGGCAAGCAGCTTTAACCCAAGACCACCAGTAAGGTGATAAAGCGTCCTCCTTTCCCCCCTTTACACCTACGACCCTGTTCAGCATGAAGAAGCCAGAGAGTCAGCATCCAATTCCCAAATTAATAAGACAGTTGGTTTAATTACTATTGGAAAATGCTTGTCATTCCTCTGTAGCATCTGGTCCCCACTGGACCCTCATTTCCTTCACCTGCTCCTCCCACTGACCAAATTGTGCAGCTCTGAAACTGCATCCTGGCCCATCCTCACCCTTCTGCCCCCAACCCTCACCTCCTTGTACCCCCAATATGTTTTTCCCAATTAAAAAAATAATAAAAAAAAAAAGAATGGTGTTGGGTGTGTCTAGGGTCACTGTGACAGGGCGGCAGGTCAGCCTGTGGAGCAGGGAGGGACCAATTCCATTGCCACCAACGGTAGAGGTGCCAGGCCTGTTTCTCGATGGGGACTCCCTAGGCATCCACCACACCCTCACCTAATGAGTCCTTCAGAACGTGGGTGAGCTTGCACTGCCGGAAGGGGATGTGGTCCCTCTTCTGCTCCCCGAGGGCGATGATGGCCTGCTCCAGGAATGACAGGGACTTGTTGATGTAGTTGGTTTCCTTCAGGTTTTGGGCCCTGGACTACAAACAAAAGGCCTAACTCAGAATGGCTGCCTTTCTGGTTCAGAGACTGCAGGAGACGCTGCGGCCAGGCTCGAGCTGTTTCACGGAATCAGGGTCTTCCCACTATTGTATGGGACTATATCCCATCTTGGGTTAATAAAGGTAAAAAAATACTCAGGAATACTAATGTAAATATGAAGGTAAACGTGAATGCTCCAAGATAAATACTATAAACACCCACAGGAATACCGAAGTGGACACTTGTACCAATATTCCAGCAAATAAAGTTCACACAAACATGAAAGTTCACATAAATGCTCGTCTGAACAGCCTTATGCACACTTGTGTTAATAATCACACACAAATACATATATGAATACTCATGTTCATACACAGGGAAACACTAATTAATAGATCCAGAGCATCTACTAAGCCTTACTGAGTGTCGTTCACCTCGAGAAAAATTTAAGGGGCATCACCTCATTGAAAATTATAAAAAAACCTATGAGATACGGGTGAGTTCTGGTGGCCTAGTGGCAAGAAACTGCACTGCAATCCCAGAGGCGCATGGTTCGAATCCACCAGATCCTCTGCTGGAGAAGGAGGGACAATCTCATCCTGTACCAGTCAGATCAGATTTGATGGTGTACACTTCCACTCTTAACAATGTTTATGGCTAATGCAACAGAATGACCTATAAGATACGAACTGCAGATTTGATGGTACACACACAACAAATAATTAAATAAAAAAAGTTAAAAAAAAAATACAAACTGCACCTGAAAGCAGCTATTCCACCTTCTGCCCCTTGCCCTCCCACTTACCCCAGTCTTCTCCATCCGCTCGGAGCCTGCTAGGTCCACTAAGTTAATTTTGGAAGTGATGTACTTTTCTTCTGACAGCGTCCGTGAATGGGCCTATGGAAAACGCAGAATGAGGGAGAAGCTGGTAACTGCACAGGCCCCACAGGAATTGATGGCCCCTTCCCGGCCACTCTAAGAGCCTATACTGACCTCCACGTAGATGGTGAAAATGCAGTGTGACCTGGAAGAATTTTTGTTCAGTGTGTGGGAGGTAATAATCTTGTTGGTTTCTCCCTGAAAAGGAAGGGATACATTGACAACATTTTGGAAAAGTAAAATAGTAAAGTATTTGTATTGCCAATCACTACACAAATGACCTGTCAGCCATCTGGTGGGCTATTCAGGCAGACCTCTTTTATAAGCTGGAAGATAGGGAAGGTGAAAATGGGTTTAAAAAGACAAAACAGAATCATAAACAGAGGAGACAAAGAAAGTGCATACCTTAATGGGCAGATTTCAAATATGTCGGTAAGCACATTAAATGTCAATGAAACGAAGTCTTAAAATATAAAGACTATCAGCATCGACTTATACAAATCTTTCCATATGCTCTTTATATAAAGAGCAAAATTAGATATTCAACTAATTTAAAACTAAAAAATTTTTGTCCATCAAATGCCACATAAACGCGGGGAGAAAAGGCAGGCCAGAGGACATATTTGCAGGACACAGAAAATATGTGTCACATGTGTAACGAGTGGCATGGACCATTGGGAAGTGTGCTGCTAACTCCAAGGTCATGCCTGTCTAGTGGTCCGAATTCACCAGCAGCTTCAGGAGAAGAAGGGGTTCCCTTCTGTGTGATTTCCAGCCTTGGAAACCCAGCAGGGAGGGTCAGCCAGGAGTCAGTTCCAACTCAATAGCAATGAGTTGAGTTGTCAAGTCGATATAATGAAAAGAGAACTAGTTTCAAAATATGGAAAAGGGAATTTCTTCTAATAAGAAAGGGAGCTCTGGTGGCTTAGTGGTAAGGAATTGCTCTGTCAACACAAAGGTATGTGATTCAAATCCATCAGCCACTCCGCAGGAGAAAGATGGGCAATCAACTCCTGTGTGATTTACTGCCTCTGAAAACCTGCTAGAAGGTCAGCTATGAGTCAGTTCTGACTCGATGGCGCACAACAATAAAAAGAAAGAATGAAATACCTGCAAAGATGTCAACAGCGAGGTGCTTATTAAGAGAGGAAACCCAAGTGATCAATAAATATATGGGAAGGTATTAATCTTATTGGTGATTAGGGAAATGCACATCATGATCGTAGCAGGATACCCTGACACACTGATAAAACTGGTTCATTTCAAGCCATTATGTGAATTCTAATAACCATCTAGCGACAATGTCTGATGTTGGAAAACAGTTGCTATCATATATGAAATCTTCAGACACATGTACTCCATGACTCAGCAGTTTCAGTCCTCAGCTTTATGCAATGCAATCTATGTTTACATGTACCAAGAGATACACACAAGAAAATTCCTAGCAGCACTGTCTGTTATCTAGGAAAACCTACATATCCACCAGAAGTAGAACAGACAACTAAATTGTAGTGTATATAAATAATGTAATACAATAATGAAATAAATCATAACAACACATGAATGTTAATAGAAGGTAAAGAACAAGATATAATTCCTCCTCTGTGATTCATTTTATATCAAATTTAAAAATAATTTTAATTATGCTTTTAAAATATTATGTTGTTTGAAAAAGTACAGGTGATTAAGTTATCCCCCCTAAAAAAAGAAAAATAGCCAGGAAATGATTGCTATAAAAGTCCAGAAAGTGGCTATTTCTAGGAGTGGGAATAAATACTTATTCTAGACAAAAGCTCCTCACAAACAACTTAGAACAGAGTAAAATTCCCTTCACCTCCTGTCAACCATTCATCAGCCTTTCATTATTCCTCCTGGCAAAATGTTAGAAGCAACAGTAGGACAAGAAAGGAGGCTCTTTCTTTTCTGTAGATCGAAGAAACCCAGTCATAAGACATCCTGAGGACTTCAATCTGTCGTGTACACACACACACACATTCACAGTCTCACACCCCCCCCCATCTCGAAGTTTTACTGAGGTATGATACAAATAATATAAAGTTCACAGATTGAAGATTCAAAGACTTTTAAGTAAATTTACAGAGCAGTGTTTTAGAACTTTCGCATCACCCCAGAAAGTTCCCTTGAGCCCATCTGTAGGCACTTTCCACTCCCTCCTCCCAGCAACCACTGACACATATTCTGTCTCTCCAGATTTGGCTGTTCTGGACATAGCCTGTGAATGAAAAGGATGTGGTTTTGGGAGACTGTCTTATGTCACTTGGTATAAGGTTTTTGAGGTTCCATCATGTTGTAGTGTGTATCCTCGTGCCATTCTTTTTACCATCAAATAGTTTCCCACTGCATTTTGGTTATCAATTTCCAGTTGATGGACATCTGTTTTATTTCCTGTTTCTGAATAATGTTGCTATGAACAATCACATACAAGTCTTTGTGTGGATACATGCTCACTTTTCTTGGGCACATGCTTATGTAAGAATTGCTAACTGGGGGATGGGGAGGCTGGTGGTGAAGTGGTTAAAGCACTTGACTGCCAACTGAAAGGTCAGTGAGAAAAAGATGTGACACTCAACTTTCTAAGGATTTACAGCCTTAGAAAATCTATGGAATTCTTCCACCCTAGTCTATGGAGGCGGCTTTGAACTGGAACTGACTCGATAGTTTTATCTGAGGGAATTTTTCTCTTTTCTGTTGATTTTCAAGTGATTTCTGGTGGCCTATTTGATGGCACATAACAGCACCACAAACAAGTTTGCATGGATGGAGCTCTGGCGGCTTAGTGGTAAGGAGTTGTGCTGCCATCCCAAAAGTATGTTGGTCAAATCCACCAGCTGCCCTGTAGCAGAAAGATGGGCAATTTCCTCCCATACTATTTACCGCCTCTGAAAACCTTCTGGAGGTTCAGCTTTGACGGGTTCTAACTGGAGGGCACATAACAACAACAACAATCTGTAAAGAGTTGCACGGCTAACCCGAAGAGTGGTTCAAATCTACCAGACTTGCAGGGAGAAAGATAAGCAATTTCCTCTATGCATTTTACAGTCTTGAAAACGAAATAAGAGGTTCAGTTGCAAGTTGGTTCCGATTTGACAGCAATGAGTTAGAGGAGTTTGTTTCATTTTATTGATTTGTAAGAGCTCTTGATATATTAAGGATGTTAACCTTTTTGGGGGGTACTAAAATGCTTGTAATATAGTGTTAAAGGATGGAGAAAGGGGAGAGAATACAGGAAGATCTTTGCTCTATTAAAAAATAACAACAGTGCACAGGAAAAAAATCAGGAAGGAAATAACCTTTAAATAGACACTACTACTGTTTTATGTAGAAAACAAAATTTAAACTAAATTCTTTGTTCTTATCTTTTTTCCTGTACTATCTGAACTCTTTAAATTAGTATATATTTTCATTCTAATTATCAAAGTAAATAAAACTGCAGAAAGGCAAGGGGAGAGAAGGAAGAGGAGGAGAAAAAGGGAACAAAAGGAGATAGAAATAAGAAGAGAAAGAGAGAGAGAGAGATCCAGAGTTGATCCTCTCACCTCAAAAAGGAAAATGAATGCATCCTCCTCCTGTTGTGTGTGGTGGACCGACAAGCCCTTAATGTAGACTCCTTGTGGGTTTTCCAGGATGGCCATTGGGGTTTTTGCGGATCCAGCATAGGACAGGTTGGACAGGAGATCAAACATGCTCTCATTATAGATTTCCACATAGGAAACGTGCACAGTAATGTCATGTGTGGGGCGTTCGTCAATCATCTTAAAAACCTGGGCAGAAAAAAAAATTACAAATTAAAAAAACAAACAAACAACCAAAACTTAGGAGATGAAACAGCAGTCACGGTGAGCAGGACAGCCAGCTAGTGTTACTGGAGTTCTTACCTCAAAAAGGGACCTCAAGAGGTATTAAAAAAAAAAAAGAATTAAGGTGGTATGGTGGCCAGTTACAACAAGTTATTAGTGTTGGCCTAACAAGAGAGACATTTTTATAGGATATTTGTTTAAAAAATTATTTGTAGGGGATTTTTTGGGGGGTTAAGTCCTAATTTCTAGAATGACCAAGAAGTACAGCCATGAGAGAAGATTCTGATTTCACAGCTCTCTCATTTACCTAGGGTCTTACCACCTGCAAAGCTCTTTTTTACCTAGTGCACAAGTCTATTCTTTTAACCCTCCCACGAGAAAGGCAGGATGGGCTGATATCCACTTGTGTAGGGCTCCATGCAACTGAACTCTCTACCTATGGTCTGTCAGCCTGTCAGGGTGGAAGGCAGGCTGGGACTCAACTTCTTGACTCCTAATAGCCTCCTCAGTACTTATCAGCAGGTTACTTTGAACTGGTCTTGTCTCCTCTCTGGACCATGATTTCCTTACCTGGCTGGGCTGTCTGATACTTGAGGTCTCACCTTGACCCAACAGTGTTGACCTGTGCTGTCACCCATGTGGCTAGTCAGAGCCTGAAAATGTGGCCAGTGTAAAACCAGAAGCAAACTCTTAATTCAATGCTCTATTCAATTACACTGGTAGACCTTTAAATAAGTTTGGAACAACTTTGTTATCTATTTCAAATGTCAATTTTAGGCAATCTAAATACATATCCTAGTATCTCTGAATATTTCATGTCTGAATTGAGATGTGCTCTAAGTTTAAAAAGCATACCAGATGTCAAAGACTAACTGTGATAACAAGAATGTAAAAGATCTCATTAATAATGGTTATACTGATTCCACGTTAAAGTTATATTTTAGGAAAAATGGTTTGTTAGAATTCACTTGCTCATTTTTATATTCTTAAATCTGGTTACTGGAAACCCAAAATGTGTGTCTGAATTTTTACAATTCAGAGCTGTAACTCTTTCAGACGGTATTGAGGGAAGGCCTACTAGCTCCTGCCTCCAACCAGGGGGTCCACATAGAACCCAGGCTAAGGAACTGCAAAGGAAGACACTTCTGCCCAGTCACACTTCCCAGAGCCTCAGGGCTGCCCCTGTCCTGAGAGCTGCGTCTGCTTCTTTTCTGGCTTGCTCTCAGAGGCTTCAAAAGGAGTGAGAGCTGACCAGTGAGGACATTCTGCAAACATGCACACCACCCTCATTAACACCAGGAAGCAGAGTGATTAAGACCTCCAAATCCTTAATTATCGGATCACAGACCTTTGGACCAGCAGGAGGCCAGCTGGCATGCCTAATGCTCTCCTACAAATGAGGAAACAGACTCAGTGTCAGAGCTAACATGCAAACTCTCATTTCCTAAGACCTCTGGCCTGGTCCCTTCCCTGACCACCAGCTGGGAGTATCCTGCCTTCTAGCCAGGCTCCTACTCTTTCGAGGGTTGACTCCACTGTCTCTAGTGGGTATCTGGCAGGTCAGCAGCATCTATGGCAGAGAGAGACGACCCATGTGGCATCCCACCCTTGGGCCCACTGTCTACCTGCTGCAGGGCCCGAGGGAGGATCCCCCGTTGAGTGTAATTCTTAGTTGCCCCGATCATGGTGTATGTCTTGCCGGCTCCTGTTTGCCCGTAACACATGATGGTGCCTGCAAACATTTCAAAACATACCTCAGCGACATCCGGGAAAACAGCTCCCAGGATAGCTCTCCCACCCTTCAGGATGTTGTCCCTTGCAGGTCCAGCGTATACCCCAAAACCAGCCAGAGGACTCAGTGAAGGTCGCTGCAGGGTGGTGGGGAGCATCAGGAACTCCTGCTATGGTGAAAGGTGGGCAGGGACAGGGAGAGAAATGAAGAGCCAAAGCCTGGGTGTCTGTTCTGAATCTGTGGTCCAAGCTTTGCTCTACTGTTCCCTTCAATTTCATCTGACTCTCAAGCTTCCGAGGACAGGGAATCTCCAAACAGACAACTTAGAACTTAAGCTTCTGAGCACAGGGAGTCTCTGAACAGATATCTTGGAACTTAAAGTTTTTGAGAACAGAGAATTTTCAAACAGACAACTTGGAACTTAAGCTTCTGAGGACAGAGAATCTCTGAGCAGACAACTTGGAATTTACGTTTCTGAGGACAGGGAATCTCTGAACAGACAACTTTGAACTTTCCTTAGAAAGACGAGGATGGAAACCAGGGCACTGGACTTCAACTCTTCTTTAGCACTGCCAGGGCCTCAGAACTAGGTTTCTCAGTGGGGCTGGCCAAGCAGGAGGCAATACTTTCCCACAAAGGCAAGCCGGGCTTTCCAATTTCTCAGGCCGAGATGAAGCAATACAAGCATTTCCCGCCAATGGTGAAAATGCTTTGCAGACTGGCTGATCCTATGCAACTTGTAGAAAAAAGACCTCAACTGGGCTCTGATCTGCTTCTATGCCACAGTTTGCCCTCAGGAGACTTCCATTTGCATCTCTCATATCCTTCAGTCTACCATCATCGCCAGCCCATGCAGTCATTCTGGACTCTCATTTCTTCCTTTTAGGTTGGGCAGCCTGAGCCAAGCCCCAAACTGAAGACTGCTCCTGGATATTTACCCAGCAGACCTGCCTAGGCAATGCTGGGCAGAGGGTATCGGTGTTTGCCTTTGTTTGCCACGTGAATGAAGCCTCAAGATTGGGAGATCTTATATAAGAACTCTAAGAACTCCCAACATACACAATTGAGTTAGGGTTAGAAACAATGTCTATTTACAAATGAGTGAGGAAGGAGTCACTTCATCTGAAATCAATCCCTTACTAGGACTGAACACCCATTCATGGTCCCTTATTATTCTCTGCCCAAAACTCTCAACCTCCCTGCAGCTTAATTGTGACTCCACTTTCTCAGAGCCACATCCTGCTAGACAATTGGGAAAACCCTAAGTAAGAAGATCCTCAAATCAATGGTGTCGGTATCCCTGCGGAAGAAATCATAATGTGTGGACATCCACAGTCAACAGATTTTTAAACAGAAGACCTAAATTTGGAAACTAATAGCAAAACACAGACATTCTTCACAGTAACCACCAGATGGGCAAAGTCTACAAACTGTGATGTACTCTTTTTCAAAGCAATTTAAAAAAGAAAAAACACAAAAAAACCCCTAAAAACCTTGGATTGAAAACTTGCCCCAATATTGTTCTTAACTTATTAAGAAAGGAAAATTCTGGTGAGCTCTGGTGGCTTAGTGGTAAGAAGTTGCACTGCAATCCCAGAGGTACAGAGTTCAAATCCACCAGATGCTCTGCTGGAGGAGGGACAATCTCCTCCTGTACCAGTCAGATCCAATTTGATGGTACACACGCACAAAATAATAAAATAAAATTTAAAAAAGGAAAATTCTACTGCAAATCTTAATTATACACATATATATTTGTATATGTATGGAAAGGATCAAACCAGGCTGCTGCTTGGAGGCAAGGATTCCGAGGCTCCGTGTGACATACTTTGGACATGTTGCAAGGAGGGACAGGTCCTTGGAGAGGGACATCATGCTTGGTAGGGTGGAGAAGCACAGAAGGGGACGGCCCTCTATGAGGTGGATTGATTCAGTGATTGGGATAATCAGGATGGGTGTATCAGAGACGGTGCAATTGGCACAAGACAGAGCAGAGTTTAGGGCTGTTGTATATAGGGTCGCTATGAGTCACAAGCGACTCGACGGCACATAACAACAACAACATGTATATATTTATATATTTGTGTGAGTGTATATATATATATATATATATATATAGTAGTTGTGTCGTCAAATCATAGATGACTCACAACAAGCTTATGAACTAAAGACCTGAACACTTGTATAACTTTCATGGTTTCTCTAAATTCCTGATAGATAGATAGATAGATAGATAGATAGATAGATTCCTATAGTTTAATATGTATCAGGGATTGATTATATTGGTAGAACAAGGATAGATAGGACCTAGCGAGTAACTAAGAGAAAAATGTCCATACCTCACCAAACTAATCATGAAGGCCCATCTTCACAACCTTTTGAGAGATTTAAAGCATGCTAAAAGTTGAAACTCCTATGACCTATAGTGAGCTGAGCTCACTTAATCCTCTTATGAAAGTAAGATCCCAGGACACCGGATTGTACCACGCCTACAACATCACCAAACAGTTTTCTACCATAAAAACAGGCAGATAGACAAGGAAGCAAACAAATGTTAGTAAATAGGTTATATTTTCTTTTATTCACCACAGAATACCTGCACCTCTTGCTCTGGGAGGAGTTTGGTCAGTTCTTATGCATGGCAACAGTTAATTAGCTAAATTACCATTATAGCCTTCTAGTGCCCGTGAAACCACATCCTTTGCGACTGTCTCATACACCAAGTCCTGAGAGGCGTCATGGAGAACTCCGTCCAGCTTGAACGACCAGTCTGTCTGCTGGTTATTGACAACTCCTTTTCTAGTATCTTTTTTTAAGTGAATAGCAATGCTCTAAGAAGAAAGGAAAATAAAGTTGTTAGGAAATAGATTTTTTTTTTTAAATCACTGAGACCTAGGAAGACAGAATTGAACTTTAGGAAGAACAAGGACTCCTACAAGAGAGCTGATATTCCAGATGAAATCTTGGGAATGGGAGAAGGGAGTTTCTGCAAAAAGGGCCACAAAATCCCTGATGGTGGAAGGACCAGGAGACTGAACACTTACTAGTCAGTACAGCTCACCTCGGTTTACAGGTGAGTTGCACTGATTTCCTTCCCCCTAACTTATTGATACTCAAGGAGCTCAGAGAGCCTAGTGGTAAGAGGCTGCACTGCAATCCCAAAGGAGCACTGTTCGAATCAACCAGGTGCTGTGTGGGAGAAAGACGGGCAATCTCCTTCTATGCAAGTTTCCGCCTCTGAGAACACGCTGGATGGTCAGCTATGGGCCGATTCTGACTTGGCAGCACACAACGACTTTCATCGTATTCTTAGTGAGCAAGAATTTTATATACTCAAATGATTTGCCTCTGAAAACCCACGGGGAGGGTCAGCTATGGGGCAGTTCCAGCTCAATGGCACACACTTACGATACGGAGTCAAGCAAAGTCATATTCCTAGTGAGCAAGATTTTAAAAAAAAAATTTTATTGGGTTTTTTTGTGTGTGTGTACCATCAAATCGGATCTGACTGGTACAGGAGGAGACTGTCCCTCCTCCAGCAGAGCATCTGGTGGATTTGAACCATGTACCTCTGGGATTGCAATGCAGTTTCTTGCCACTAGGTCACCAAGTGAGCAAGATTTTTATATGGTCAACCAGTTTGCCTCTGAAAACCCACCAGAGGGTCAGCTTTGGGTCGGTTCCAATTCAAGAGCACACAAGAAAAACTTATGATATGGGGTCAAGGAAAGCCATCAAATTCTTAGTGAGCATATTTTGATATAGTCAACCAGTCTGAAAACCCACTGGAGAACCACTTCTGACTTGATGGTACACAATAAGCACCACCACCAGTTTAGGAAGGCCTTGAATTAGGCTGCAGAGAACTGTGGGTGGGCACCCTATGTCTCTGGTTACTAGCAGTGAGATCGCCCTTCCTTAGCTCTGCACTTCCATGATCACTTACTTCCATACACATGCTATATGGTCAGAGTGTGAGGAAGATCAAATAACAGTCCGAGAAGAGCCTGGACTGTTCAGCACAGTTACTCACTGGCATTACATTGACAGCACCCAGCCTGTATGTATTTTATTATTTTTTTGTGAGTGTACCGTCAAATCAGATCTGACTGGTACAGGAGGAGATTGTCCCTCCTTCCCCGGCAGAGCAACTGGTGGCTTCGAACCGTGTGCCTCTGGGATTGTAGTTGCAGCTCCTTACCACTAGGCCACCAGAGCTCCCCCCCAGCCTGTATGTAATCAGTGGGATTTCAGATGCATATCCCCTCCTAAGCCCATGGGTGACGGTGGGCTTAGGGATTTGCTCGATACGGGCCCTGGTAGATTGAAATCTTCTGGATGGGACTTTGATTACTATAAACTTATTCTCTTCAACATCTTATACTGGTTGCCCTAACCCAAGAGTCAAGACCTGGTCACATGCAGAAAAAAGTAAGATGCAGTGAGAGGATTTGGTTCTACTCACACACTAAATGTTCTGTGTTTCTGGAGAATCTGTCCAGGGTGGAACATTTCACAGGGCTACCCAGGACTCTCTTTTTTGACTGCTTGGACCCTCCAGGATTTAACAGCTTTTCTTGAATTCTTCCTTTAAATGCTTGTCTCAGTGTTCCCATTGTTGTGTGGTATATCACAGAGTTGGAACCAACCCACAGCTGGCCCTCCAGCAGGTTTTCAGAGTCAGTTAATCGCACAGGAGGAGACTGCCCATCCTTCTTCTGCAGAGCAGCTGGTAGCCTCAAACCACGTGCCTGTGAGACTGCAGTGCAGCTTCTTGCCACTTGGCCAGCAGAGCTCCCTCAGTGTTGGCATTCTAAGCCCGCAAATATTTGCTGGATGATAACATCTGACTAACAATCTCACATTGCTTCCTGATGTGCTAAGCCTTTGAGAGGCTTCAGAAGGTTTCTCCAAGGCAATGGTGAGGGCACAGGAGGGATAGATCTTTCTGGTTCTCTTGATAAGAAAGTTGTCCTACTGCTTTGGTAAGTTTAACGGTTATCCGTTCAAGACTGTCTTTTTAGTTTTTCTTTATTTTTTTATTTTCTTTCATTCATTGTTGCACATTTCCTCCCTATCCCAACCCCATTCACTTAAAAAAAAATTCATTCATTGCTATACAATTTCCTCCCTCCCCCAGTACACTTCGTAATGCACCTCTCATTCTAGACTGTTGTCATACAAATAATGCCTAATCATATACTTCTTTTAAATAGTTCTTTCCTTCATCTGTCCCAATGCAGTGTTCATTATCTATCCCCTTTTCCTAGTTTCACCCCAGACATATCAGTCCTGTTTTGTAACAGGTGTATTATGCAGTATTAGTCCTTTTGTGACTGAGATATTTCATTCAGCAAAATGTCCTCTAGGGTCAACCCATGTTCTATAATGTTTTATGAGTTCCTTGTTTTTCCATGCTGTATAGTATTCCATTGTATGAATAAACCATAGTTTTCCTATCCATTTATTTGTTGATGGCCTCAAAACAGTCTTACTGGACCTCTCTGAGACACTATGTAAATGACAGATCTGTTCCCAAAAAAATTTTAATAAAAGTGTTCAGGTGTCAGTTCTTTTTCTATCTCAGTTATATTTACAGGTAAATTTAATACACAAAATTACAATTCAAATTGTAGTTTTATGAGAGTTCTTGTAAATAAAAAATGTGTACAGAGAGGGAGAGGAGCAGTTTGAACTTGATGAACTCAAGAGTCCATCTGAACTTGACCTGATTCTGCACTGATCTTGACAAGTCTGTTTGAAAATAAGGTCACAGTGCTGCAAAGCTAGACAGACAGAGGCTCCAGCTAGTGAAGGTAAACACACTTACTTTTTTGTCATCTCCGTATCTGATCATGTCATGTGCAAAGTTATCAGTAGGCTTGACTCGGACAAACACATGCACTTTATTCTTAGCACTCATTCTGGCTAAAGAGAAGAGAACAATGAAAATTTCAGTTACCCAACAATAATCAAAAGGGAAGGTGAGGCTCAGTAAGATAAAAAAAGAATTTCATGCCATCCTTTTGTTCCTATCAGGTGGCATTTCAATGTCCTACCCACAGAACACTGCTCACCAGTATTATACTTCCTACTTCAAAGGTCGCTTACACTAAGAACTCCAAAAAGACTAGAGTACAAAGCATAAATGGTACTCTCTTTAGTAGCCTCCCCTTAGATGTGGTTTCCACAAGTGTCCTGCTTCTGCGATGTGTCCATTTATGTTTCCCTCTTTAATATTTTCCCTAAAAGTGCAATGAAAAGCATTAGAACCAATCTTTTCTTCATTAACACACCCTTACCTATGCTCCAGCACCTCTACCTCTACCTTCATTAGCCTAAGCAGATCAGAAATACATCCTTTCATAAACAGTTTTTCTTCCTTTGTCAATATATTGAGAGCAAAATCTGTTTCCTACCTTCTTGCATACTAGCTATACGATCCTCATCTGTCTTCTGGTAGCCACAAATATACAGTTGATCCTCATTATTCACGGATTCCACAGCTGTAGGTGCACCTACTTGCTAAAATTCATTTGTAACCCCAAATCAATACTCATAGTTTGTCTGTGGTTATTGGAAGTATACACAGAGCAGAGAAAAGAAAAGAAAAGAAAAGATAGACAAATTCCCAGTGAAAGCTGAACAAGGCAGCACTCTGCCTTCTCATTTCTGTTTTAAAGTTGCTGGGTTTTTGAACAGAGTTGGGTAAACTGTAAATAACTGTTCTTTTAGCAGTTCATTTTGTGCCATGTTTCTGGCATTCTTCTTGGTGATTCACTGTTTAAAGTGGCTGACTAATGCTCCTAAATGTAAGAAGGCTTTGATGTGCTTTCTGAGGGGGGAAAATGTGTTTTAAGTAAGGCGATGCGTAGATCAGGTGATGAGGTGTTGCAACCACAGGCTCATAGGAACAATAGTTCAATATTCACTAATTCAGTGTTTTTGGTATTATAGAGCATAACTCCTGTGAATAATAACAAGAACTGACTGCATTTGACTTATCTCACTTATACTATTATGGATAATTACCATATATTATAAAGTGTTAAATACATTTGACAAGACCTCACAGCATATGATGAAAGCTCATAAACAGAAGTGACAGGGAGGAGGCAGAATTAACTACGTTCAGATCAGTTGTTTATAGCGTTGCTATGAGGCACAGTTGACTCGATGGCACTCGACACCAACACTGAGCACTGTCTCATAAAGCAAAGACCTCCAGGTAGAAACCATAAGCACCCACAAAAGAGGTTGCTGTGCTGAGTAGAAGATTAGTTGACCCTTAGGTTCTTCTTTTTTTTAAATTTTTTTTATTGTATTATTTTTACGTGTACCATCAAATCAGATCTGACTGGTACAGGAGGAGATTGCTCCCTCCTTCTCCAGCAGAGCATCTGGTGGATTTGAACTGCATACCTCTGGGATTGCAGTGCAACATCTTGCCACTAGGCCACCAGAGCTCCCTAGATTCTTCTTAACTAAAACACTCTATTAAGACTTAAAAAAAAAGAAAAATTGTATCACAATCTTGCAAATGATAACTAAGAACTCTCTTATTTTATTGGTTATTAGTCTCAATGGTTCCATCTGCTTTTGAGAGTGCCTGTATAAACATATTTAATATGAATTAAGCAACATATTTCAATCCTAGCATTGACATACATAGGAGAAGGATGGGCAGTCTCCTCCCGTGCAATTAACTGCCTCCAAAACCCACTGGAGGGTTAGCTATGGGTCGGTTCCGACTCCATGGTACACAACAACAACAACAGCCTTGACTTAAGTGGTGAAACAAAAAGGACTGCTATGTAGAGAAGATAACTGTACTAATATGAATTCTTTTATCCATAACTAATAGTACTAATTTCAATTACCTTAAAGAGAAATTTAGCAACTTATTAGGGTATCTCATTATTTTTACTAATAGCACAGGACGAAATATTGGGAAAATGCTAAGAGTTCTAAAAGCAAGCTGAAAAGTATAAAAAAAATCTATCTGTAATCATTATTAATTGTATTAAATCAGTTCTTATTAAAAATAAGATAAAAGTTCTATAAAATGTCATAAGTAACTTTGTTCAAAACTTTGGCCAATCTAAATTCCAAAATCAATCTCCATAATAGTCTATGTGTTTCCTACTGCCAAAGGGGCCCTTTAGAGTAGTGAGAGAAGATCTTAACCCTGAAACCCACAGTGTTCTTTTTCAGCAGGAAGTAGCTAAGAGAATACGCCATCCCCTTTTCCTTATGAATCAGGGTGAAGTCTCTCTCAGGGAGGAGTGATAGGGAATGGCAAAGGACACACCGACAAAGGAGATTAATCAGAACTGACTTTGACAAGCACTGTGGCAATTGGACAATTAAAACAGACATTCGGATGGCGGGGAAGAAGAACAAACTGGGGAGGAGGGTGGAGAGAATGGTGCGGCAATGAAGGAGTGAAAGCCCAGAATCCCTGTGAATGTTCATTGAAACTAATAAAATTTAATAATAATATATAAAAAAAACTTTGGCCAAATTAATAGAATATAATTTTAAATTGTGCTAAGATTTCTACTTTTGGGGAGCTCTGGTGGCCTAGTGGCAAGAAGCTGCACTGCAATCCCAGAGATACGCGGTTCAAATCCACCAGATGCTCTGCCGGAGAAGGAGGGGCAATCTCCTCCTGTACCAGTCAGATCCAATTTGACGGTACACACACACACACACACACACACGATAAAAAAATTAAAAAAATTTCTACTTTTATATGCTAGTATAGTGTTCTAAGATCCATTTGATTTTTCAGGTTTTGGTTGATTTTAACAATATCATTGAGTAGTTTAAGGTGACTCTGAGATTGGACTGTCCAATTTTAATAATATCACTTTCAGAGAACCATGAGAATTTTTTTAAAAAGTTAAAAACTCATTTAGCTTTAGTGTCACAATATACAAAATAGAATTTGAATAAAGAAAAGATGCAGAGGTTAGGATGTTTGCTGCCTCACACATTTCTTCTCATTTAGTTTGGAGTAGTTCCATAAGAAACAAGGTCTTTTCCCCTAAACTAACCTGCCACAAGGCAGGACAGAGGAGTTGAGGCTAAAGTGAAAAAACAACTAGCAAATGAATTTGCTGAATTTATGCAGAGAGGGCAATGTGAGACACAGGGAGCAGATCCTGTATCAATATAGTTAATAAGTTAATTTGCTTGGATTACTGTAAAGCACTCTAAGAAAAAGATTAATATGTTTAACAATAAAAAAACAAACCAGTTTTCAAGAAAATTACTGATGAAAACCATACAAAATAGTCATGTATAACAGACATTCCTCTTCAACTACTTTTTGCTGAGTTTTCAAAATCACATTGAATGTTTAAAATATTAACATTTGACATGCATTAAATAAGAGGGATTGAGTGTTTAAAAAATGACACTTCTATATTTTCATATACAATTTGTTGTGACCACTTGTTTTCCAAGTAAAATCTTATTAACTATCAAGAGGCACTGACTGGTTGACTCACTGCTGATCCTCCGAAGGGTTTCAGAGGCTGTAAATTGCACAGGAAGAGACTCTCATTTTTCTTGGTTGGAGAAGTTGGTAGATTCACACTGCCTGCCTTTGGGTTAGCAGTGCAGCAGTGCCTTACCCAGAAGGCCACCAGAGCTCCCTCAAGAAGCCTCAAGTATATGAGAAAGAGAGTTCCTAATTAAAATAATGTGAATGAAAAATACTACAAATTTAGTTTTAATTAAATTCTTGTTATAAAGCTTTCAAAATATAAACTCAAATAAGTAAACAGAACACATATTGACCTAGGGCAGAATGTGTGAATGTTTCCTATATTTCTTGACCACTTATGTCACCAAAGTCTTTCCCTGACCACTATGAACTTACTGTGACATCTGAGACATCTTCCCTTTTTTAGAAAATGAATCTGAAAGGTATTGGGCTAAATAAGGCTAAGTAAAAGGCTTACATTTTAATATGTTGACCCATTTTAAATTTTTGTCTGGAACATTAACTCTACGAATAAAAAACCCAAAACCTGCTCTAAACTTGCATATGCAAGTGAGGAAATTAATGAGAGAAAAATCTCATCTTGGTTTTCACTCTGATCTAGGCTGTTTGGAATTTGAGAGCACAAGGAATTTGAGGGTAGTAGGGGTGTGTCTTAGCTCAAGAAAAAAATCCTCAAGCGCTAAAGTTCTGGGAACTACTCCTCACAACCTCATGGGCCCATTTTTCTGCCCATGACATTTCAGACACTGCCTAGGGTGACCCTTGTAAGGGATACTGAAGAAAGGAAGCTCTGTAGGCAGATGCCCTCTCCCCCAGCAGCCCTTGCCCACTAACAGCACCACAGGTGCACAGGCCAGTTTAAAGCAACACCTTTGGGTAAGAGCTTCCTTCCTTGGCCCAGTATTTTGCCACAAGCCCATGCACATGCCATCCACACATTCCAAAGCCCAACGCATGCCCAACCAGCACCTCTAGGGCATGCAGCAAGCTTTGCCTATGAAACAGCACTTTCCAATGACTAGTCTGCTATTTAGCAGTCCCTCTATACTCAGCCATTTGGGGACCCCAGGCCGTCTTGCACTTACTGAAACCCCTCTTGGTATTGTTCTTACGTCGCTTCATTTGTATGTGTTTTGGCTCCCAAATTAAATCACAAGCTGCTTAAGATCAAGGCCTTTTTCTCTTTTGAGTCCCCCCACAACATCCAGAAGAGCGCCCAAGAAAAAGCAGGTGCTCAGGAAATGGCGAATGGTGGTGATGGTCATGGCTGGAAGTAAGAGGGTAGCTGAATTTCCACTTGAGGGTCCATCTTCTGTCACTATTGAAAGAGTGATTTATTTTAACATCCAGACCAAAGCATGAAGCACATGTCACCTCCCCTCCCAGACCACTTCCTAATCCTAAATCCACAGGCCTTCCAAAAGAACACTTGGTTTCCACTTTAAGAAGCCACCTTCAGTGGCAAAAAGGTGTACTGCAATCCCAGAGGTGCACGGTTCAAATCCACCAGATGCTCTGCTGGAGAAGGAGGAACAATCTCCTCCTGTACCAGTCAGATCTGATTTGATGGTATATACACACACATACACAAAAAATAATAAAATAATTTAAAAAAAGAAGCCACCTTCAAGCTCCTCACCACAAATTTGGTAGCATCCTTTCTCTTCAAGACCTACTGGGAAACGCCCCTTTGTAGAGGGAACAACTCTTGGGTATATTTGGGATAGCATGGTGAGCCTGTGAATAATCACTGAGTTCTCTATTCTGCAAGGCCATTTCCTTATTTGTTTTAGGAGTGAAAATGAACAGAATTGCCACCCAATACTAGTTAAAAGGGGATCTCTGGTGGCCTAGTGGCAAGAAGCGACGCTGCAATCTCAAAGGCATGCAGTTCAAATTCACCAGCTGCGCCGCAGGAGATGGGCAATCTTCTCCCGTGTGATTAACTGCCTGTAACCCCCCCCCCCAGGATAGAGTCGGTGGCACACAACAACAACCACTACTACTACTTAAAGACTCAACAAGAGAAGACGGAATAACTGGAGGCTCAAATGGTAGGCACAAGGAGGGTTCCTATCTTTCAACGCTAGAGCTGACCAGGGTCTCTCACTATGTACCCTCATAGTCACCACGGTGGCACAGCAACGGAATAAAAAACCATCCAGGTCTAACCTGCTCTTCTCCTTTCTCATCCAACTTACCAGATCCCGACACAGAAGCAAAGTGGCAATGGAGCTTAGACCCATTCTCATCCCCTGGGATGCCTTCCTCATTTGGAAAGCGACGTCCCTGGGACTGGCGATCTCAAAGGTCTCTCTAGTCGGAAAGTCAACAGCGAAAGTCTAGATGACCTCTGGTTCCCTTATCTCTAGATCCCTGAGCCTCTGGAGCTACGTGGGTCCCTCGTAATACCAAGGAAATGTTACCCCCTAATCCCCAAGCCACGGAGAAGCTGCAGAAGTGCCCGCGTTGTGAAGTGCCCTCGCTTCACAAACCAGCTAGCCGAGCCCTAGAATATCAGGAGGGGAGCGCTGTCTGGACAACAGCTGCTGGCCGCACACAGATTCACACCCTTGTCCTGTCTTCCTTCTCCCCAGGCCCCAGGGGGCGCGTGGCCCCTGCTCACCGCTCGTGGGCCAGAGCGTGACAGAGATAGCTGGAGCTGCAGACCTCCACGCTCCACACGCTGCTGACAGATTGTGTACACAGTCGCCATGGCAACGAACCACTTCCGGGGATTCCGGAAGTCTCCCATGATGGCGGAAATGAAATCTGCGGTCCTTGGCCGAGGATCCCGGTGGGAGCAGAGCCGATGACACTGACGGGCTATGGCACCGACTGAGCCAGGAAGACTGCAGCCGCTGCAGGAGAGAAACCAGGGTCTAGGAAAGCATTGTCTAAACCAGGAAGCGGGGCATCCGGACTTCCGGCTCGGAGGAGTGTGTCTACGGCGGCCGCGCAGGCCCGTCCTGTTCCGACTCCGCGCTCCAAGCGGCTGCCGGCGCCCTCCCTCGCCCCGCCTTATTTAGTGCCGAGCCGGCCGGCCAGACCTGCGCAGTCGAGGCGGCCGGGGAAGATGGTGGAGGACGGCGCGGAGGAGCTGGAGGATCTGGTGCACTTCTCGGTGTCCGAGTTGCCGAGTCGCGGCTACGGCGTCATGGAGGAGATCCGGCGGCAAGGCAAGCTGTGCGACGTGACGCTCAAGGTACCGCGGGGCTTGGGCGGTGCGGTGCCGAGGGCAGTGGAGCCGAGTGGGGACGGGAAAGGGCTGGAGGGTGTGGAGAGAGAGAGGGGCGGCGGTGGAAGGAGAGGCTGAGTGCGGCGAGGAGCCTGGAGAGAGACTGGATTCAGGGGCCAAGACCGAGAGATGCTGCGCTTGGGAAGGAGGGGAATTGGGTGTTGTGGACGCGAAGATGAGGCATCGCTCCTCGGCCCTGGGAAGGAACGTGGAGAGGCGCGCGACTTAGGCCCGGGGAGTGGAAGGCATCAGGGTGCCCGCCTCCTATGCAGTCACACGGAAAAGAGAAAATGGATTTGCAGCTCATTTGGGGGGGGGGGGACCCGATGACCCGCCGTACGTTCTGTTGGACAATCCTGAAGCGTGCTTTTTGGGCGCTTGAAGTTGCTTGTACTGTTCTGGAGGCGGCTTGTCTTTTAACATCCATTGCCTGGCCTTAGTGTTGTAGGTGATTCGCCTTGTCTCTCTTAAAGAGCTTTCAGCTCCAGATCTGGGAAGCCTTTGAGATGGGCAGGTGTGCGCTCCACATGAGCAGCCTTTCCTCGACCCCGCACCCCGCCAGGTTCTCAGCAGCTGGCCTGGGGGTGGGCTGTTTGGAGAGGGAGTGCAGCTATCCACCGGGAAGGAAGCTCTTCACTGCCTGTTCCGCGCGAGCATTTTTATCTGAAGAGTCAGTCTCCCGCCTGTGCTGCTGTTCATGCATTTCTGCTGGAGAGGCATCCTGTGGTGGATAGCCATGTGGAGTTTTCAAAGTGGGGAGGGGCTTTGGCTGGAAGGCTTTCAGCATTTGTAGAAGAGCCCTGGTTTTGTCTTGTTTAAGAAACGGGCCAGTGATCTTTGTATAGGGTTAAGGGAACTTTGTTTTCTTGTATTTGCGCCAGCCTTCTCGGGGCAATAGAATCGAATGGCTAAGGGTATGGGATTGGAGGCACAAGGATTTGGATTAAAACCGTAGTTATAATCTTGGACAAACTAATCTCTCTAAGCCTCAGTTTTCCAACTGTAAAAATAGGAGCTATTCCTTTTTTCTCTCAATATTAGCAAGAGGGCAAAATGAAAATGTTTCTGTAATTCTCTGCATAATACTTAAATATTAAAAGTTTCCCCACAGATCGAAAGCCTTCCTGTAGGAGGTTAGTTTTCCAGGAGAGGAGTGAAGTGGTCTGAGAGAAGATGGGGTCGTTTCAGGCTAAAGAGAGGAACCAAAAGGATTGAAAGAAATGAATTGCACTGAGATAGCCAGTGGAAGGACTAAGAATAAATGGGAGATTTTGTCAGCATTAATTACGTGTAGATGATGTCAGGGCTACCAGAACGTGTAAGTGGATCAGTGTATAAGCAAGCAGCACTGTGACTGTGAGCGTGATACTTGCGAAGAGTAGAACTGGCTTCCATCTGATTCCTTCTGATGTGACCTCACTCCTCTGAGAATGTACATTTCCATTCCAGATACACTGAATCAGAATCTGTATTTTCACAAGACACACAGTGATTATTTAGTATACTGTAGACACATTTTGATACTCTATACATAAGAATCAACCTGGTGCTTTAAGGGAATACCTTGAGAATTTTGTAAAAATATAGATTCTGATTCAGTATAGCTGGCAAATTCTCAACAGGGAGGTCAGATTGGAGTAGAGTCTGGAGTTCCATCTGCTCTTCAGTCAGTTCTGACTCATACTGACCTGCTGTAAATCTTTATGAGGGAGGCTGCCCATCTTTCTTCCACGGATGGGGTTAAACTGACTCAACACCTAGTGCATTGTGCCACCAAAACCAAACCCACTGCAGTTAAGTCTGATTTACAGCAAACCCCCATTGAGTCCCTCAGTGTCTCAGTCCTTAAGGAAGGAGGCTGTCCGTCTCTCTCCCAGTGACTGATGGGTTTAACTCTAGACTTCTCACCTAGCAGCCCAACACAGTATGCACTATGCCCCCAGGACTCCGCAAAGCAGTAACAGGAAAGAATTTCTGAACTAAGATTTGGGCTGTGGGGGTGATCCAGAGAAAGTGTAGAGACTCAGAGATACAAATACAACAAGGGCATCCCACCAGATCAGGATAATTACAGTTATTTTTATGAAAATGAAAACTGTGTTTTGACTCTACATTTAATAAAATTACAGAATGTCAGAAATCTTTATCTGTAAAAGTTTTACAAAAACTGCAGAATATAGGAAAAAAGCTTGTATGATATTTTTCCATTTCAGTGCTCTTTTTTTTGGTTGTTGTTCATTCAAAGAGTTAACCTCAGTCTCAGAAGAGCATCAGTATAAATTGCCTTTAAAAATACTTTTAAGGAGGCAGTTTTTGAGAGGATTCTCTGTGCTCTCCCAGATCTTCAATAAGGTGCTTTGGATAAAAAAAACAAAAAACATACAAAACATCAAAACAGGAAGGAAAAAACCACACAAACAAACCACTGCCTTTTTAAAATTTTAATGAAAATTAAATTAAAAAAAAAAAAGCAAAAAACCCCACAAACAAACCACTGACTTTTAATTTTAATGAAAGTTAAAATGTATCGTATTTTGTTCAATTTTTTATAAACTTGTTTTATAACATTAATTAAAATTGACTAATATAGTGCATTACAGTGTCTCATCATAAATTTCTACCTTAATTTCAAAGGTATAGGACGTAAAACTCAGTGTAAAGGAATAGGCTAGAAGTTGGACAGGATCATAGAGAATGTGTAAATCATTGGTTTTTAAACCATTCTGCAGGAGTAGTGTGTTGAAGAGCTGTAAGAGACCAAATCTCATTTCATTCCCTGTCACTGGAGCCATTCCTTGGGTTTATAGTGATTTTAGTCTACTGTCTTCCACATAAACAGAAGCACTGAAGAGCTGGCTGGAAGCTCTTTGGTGTGGGATGGGTTTACAGACTAGTGGGCCTTCCTGTATGGTGATGATTCTCAAACATTAATGAACTGTAGAACCATCTGGCAGCTTTATGAACATGTGTTGCAGACTTTCTGGAGCCAGTGAAGCTATCTATGAACCCCTGGAATGATTTCCCTGAGATAATTGCTAAACTTCGAATGAAAAATATCCCCTGAAAGCTTTAAACAAAGTGATTTTATCTAGTAAAGAATGTGCACTGTGCTTTTTTTTTAATTGATTTTTTTAATGCAACCTATATATTTTTTACAGCATATTCTTTCTATTTAATTTTTTCCCTATTTATTTGTTGTTGTACATTTTCCTCCTTGCCCACCCCTCCCCCCAGTTCGCTTTTCTCTTTGAGCTCTGTGCTTTTTAAAAATAACTATCTGTGATAGCAAACTGACCACTCACAGCAAACATGTTGCGGATGCGCCGCCAATCCAGAGGTGAGCAGGTTGAATCTGCCCGCTGCTGCACAGGAGAAAGATGGACAGTCTCTTCTGGGGCAGATTTCAGCCTCTGAAAACCCATTAAAGGGTCTGCTGTGGTTCAACTTCACAGTAATCGGTGAGAGAGAGTGAACCTGTAGGGTAGAGTAGACCTGGCCCCACAGAGTTTCCAAGGATGCCAGCTGCCATTTCTTAGTCCCTTGGAGCAGCTGGTGGGTTTGAACTGCTGACCTTTTTGTTAACAAGCAAGTGCTTAATGCCTCCTTCACCAGGGCTCCTATAAATGGACAACAACTATTTGGGAAGGTTTGGCTGGAAGTTTAGGGGGCAGTGAGTTTATTGAGTGAGAAATGACTTGGGAAAAGAGGGTTAGGATGTAGGATGTAGTCAGTAGTACAACATTGTACATCGAGTAATTGTCAGTTGTCACCCACCCAACCAAAGCACTGCCCTAGAGTTGATTCTGACTCACAGCAGATGAAGTAAAACAGCTCTGGAGGGTTAGCAAGGCTGGAGAGATCTTTATGAAGAAGCAGACTTCCCACATTTTACTCCCATGGAGCACCTGGTGGACTTGAACCATCAATCTTTCAGTTAGGAGTTAAGTACTTTTAATTGGGGCTCGCCTCACTTCAAACAACAAAATTAAGAAAAATTATTTTAGGAATATTACAGTGTTAAAAAACTCCACACCCCAGAATTTCTGATTGTATAAGTTTAGCATATGTCTGACAGTTTATATTTCTGGCAGTTTCTATGGTGATCCTACTTCTGGTCTGAAGTTCCACATTCGGAGAGTCATAGCTGTGTGGTGATGGACTTGTTCTTTCCAGTGGGATATAGCCAGAGTCTATAGATCTTCTGCTAGATTTCTCCTTTGGTGGTATAAGCCGGGCTGTTAGCATTCTAAGAACTGTATCTTAGGAGGTGGCTGGGGCTTTTGGTGACTATGCGGACTTTTCTTAATCTAAGTACTACTTCCTTGATTCCTCAAGTTTAAAGTCTCTAGTTTATCCTATCCAGAGAGTAAACCTCCAATCAAGAACTCATTAGATGTCTTATGTTGGGAAAATTTGCTGTCAAGAACCTCTGCAAAGTGCTAAAAAACAAGGCTGCCACTTAAAAGACTAATGCAAGCCATGATCTTTTCAGTTGTTTCCTATGCATTTGAAGGTTGGACAGTGGATGAGGATGACAGAAGAATTGATGCCTTCAATATATGTTGTTGGAAAAGAGTACTATCCCACACTCTGCCAAAAGAACAAAAAAGGTTTGTGTTGGAGGAAGAGCAACTCAGGTGCTCCTTAGAAGCAAACTGTCTCACACACTTTGAACATGTTGCCGGGGCGGGCCAGTCCTACGGATGAGACACGCTGGGTAAGGTAGGGAGTCAGAGAAAGAAAGGAAGACCCTCATCAAGATAAACTGTTAACAGTGGGCTCGAACAGATCAGAGACTGCGAGGATAGCACAGGTTAGGGTATGGTTCAGAGCTGTTGTTCATAGTGAGTTGTAGTTGACTTGACGGCACCTACAACAGTTTCTGCTGGGGCAGCAGAAGAGCAAAGCAGTTGATTGATTTTTTTTTTTTTGAGAATACAAGTACTGCCAGTTTTCAGCCTGTCCTC